CTGAGCTGTCAACACATACAGCATGCATCATCAACATGAGGTAGCATATATGGTTTGGTCCCAACAAGGAATACGCATCTGTTTATAACTGTCCGACAGCTCAGAAAGGGAAAGCAGGGCTTGGTCCAGGCTGCGTTTGGTGGGGCAGGAGAACTGCTGACTCGGACTGGGGAGCACTTTGAGGAACTCCTGAACCTGTCTGACATGTGCTCCAAGGAGAGGAGGCAGAGCTGGAAGACTCAGGGAAAGCCTCACCCAGATCTCTGGCAGAGGTCACTGAAGTAGTCAAAAAGCTCCTCTGTGTCAAGGTGCCAGGAGTGAATGAGATTCGCCCTGAGCCCAGTTTCTCTCAGAATGATGGGCTCAGATCTGAACAAATGCATGCCAACCAAAAAGAACAACTTTTGTTTGGGGCCATTTTAGAGTAGTTTCTTGGAAGATACAGTATTATTGCTGGTGTACTGTCCCACTAGAACTTACAGAAAACACGACAACGCCTTGTAAGTCTGTGGGTCAGATGAGACAGTATCAGGCCAGCTAAAAAGTGTTGGTCTGACTTGTCAGCTGGAGCCTTGGACAAAGACTAAAGAGGGCTACATGAGCATTCTCTGACCTCTTTTATCCACATTCATATACAACAAAAGGGTTGATTTGATACCAGAGAGAAGGACATCTGGGCTACCTTACTGAACCTGTTGCCACCATGACCTGATCTCAAATAAGCGGAAGAAAATGGATGGATGAGTGGATGATCAGAAAAAATTTAAAAGGCTGATCGTGTTAACATAAATTAACAGGCGGTAGGGCACACGTATTTAATCGCTTTCTAATTAAGTCTGGACATCCCAAAAGATTTACTTTGATTGTCAAGTCTAAAAATATCCCAGAGAAAAGTGAGAAATGAAATCTTGTCGGATTTAACCTAGTTACAGTTTTTAATCATTCTTAAATGTAGCCTAAATAATGTGTTCAATCATCAAACTCGACAGTTCAAATGAGACACACAGATGGTCTGTAAATCAACAAAATTCAATGCAAAACAAAACACTATGTGAAATATATTTACCCAGTTCATTCGTGGACGTCTTTAATAAATCAATCATCATTATTTTTTGTCAAATTTATTTAAATTATGGTTTTGACACACTGATCTTTAGTTGTCCCACCACACATCACTAAAACATTCTGAACCTTCTACCTACTGTGTGATGACACTTTGACAACAATGACCAATGTCATTCTGTTTCCCTCATGGGTGACGGGAAGTACCAGGCGATTTTCAAACACTATCTGTTTGTCTGGTCCACATTATCTTAATGGAACTGCAGTAATCAGATTTTGAATGCGACATCACTTTGGCAGACGGACAAACTGAAGGAACCATGTGAGTTGCTGAATATGCTCTGCACTTTATCAAACTAAATCACCCTGATAAAGAGGGTAGATTAAATGTTCTATGATAATGATATGACATCTTCAAATTTTTTAGTTTGTTGACCAACAGTCGGAAACCCACAAATAATCAGATTACTATGATGTAACCTAGCAAACGGATGTAACCTGCATGGCTCTCTTTTAAACCTACTTCTTTACAAAGCAAAAACGCAGTCTAATATCACACAAATTAGATGCATGATCAACAAGTGGGATACAGTTGCACACTGTGCCTACAGGTTTTTCTCACTTAGCTCTATCCCTCAACATAAGATCTACAGGGTCACGTGCATGCAGGGAGCAGCTCACAGTGGGGGAATCAATGGCAGGCCTGGCGTAAGCTGTATTCAGGCAGCCAGAGATGGCAGATGGGGAACTGAGGCCCTTTCTCCTCCCCAGGCATGAACAGAGATCTGTCTCCAGGCAAACACAGAAGATGTCATGTCTCTGCCTCACTGCTGTACTATTAGTGGTTCTCGCTATTGATTGCTCAGCAATTTATGCACCAGCAATCTAAAGGAAGTGCAAAGACAAGAGATCCTCGTGTTTTGTCAGAAGGACAGAGAGAGGCACTTGTTGTACGGGCAGTGAACACAGTTACAGCAACAAATGCTGGTGTTCATGAGTATGTTTCGTCCCACAGTGGTCATGTGCACAGGCTGTCTGGTCTTCCAGTTTCTCTCCTTGTGCATTCACTTTAAGAATGAAAAATTTTACAGTACCTTTTTTTGACACACGAGTGACACTGCATTCAGCATGACACAACAAACAGTGCTTGCAAACCAGCCCTGCTACTGCCAAATGCCAGTGCTGCAAATCACTTTAGTCATTTCAAAATCAAACACAAAATCTAGCTTCCTTCATTCAGCTAATGCTTTGACTCTTTGCCCATGAATTTGTTGCACGGGGCTCAGAAGGGCATCCGGAAACAAATCTAATCCCCTTAAATGGCCCTAAAATTATCTTAATCTTATATGGCGCACATCCAAGTTTGCGCTTTGAGCACCAAACTTGTGATGCTTCAATTAAAACAATGGTGTTTAAAGGATGCCAGGACATGGAAAATTCACATTCTTGTTAAGTTAAAGAAAAACTCTTCATGCACTAGAAAGATTTGCAGTAAAAATCCATACAGCAGATGAGTAACAGCAATCTCTCTCACCCTAACATTCATGTTCACTGAAGTTACATACTGACTTTTGTGAAGTGGAGATGGACAGGATGAAGACAGCTCTAATTTTCTGCCTCGGGTGAGGTTAGGCTGTCTACTTCAATACAGGACAGATGTGTGTGACTGAAGCGTCAAAGTAGAGGCAAGTGCACAGTTATGTTAAGTCATTTGACTGTTATACTAATGGAGGCTGAGGCTGCATCACAGAACAGCCTCACCTTGCAGAGTACTGTGTTAAAAAAATCTCCATCATGCAGCCCAGGCAAGTGACTGTGACCCTAAAACTCATTACAAAATTCTAAATTCAGGAATATTTTGTTGCAGAGCAAGGAGATAAAATGCAAGGTGCAGCTTTGCTGCTGTTGAGCAGAGTAAATTCATTCACCTTGCACAGTCTGTCTTCATGGTATATACACAGGACAGCACAGGATGCATTAGCGGCAGTCAGGCGTACAAGATTCATGAAGTGCTCCACCTGACAGGCGGCCATGGAATCCCTCTGACATTTTGTGCCACGTTTATGGCTCTGATTCAGTTTGGACAAACACATGGTGAGGAATCTCACACATGGCAAGGAATGGCAAAAACATACAAAAAAATGAAGAAAGATCTCTTCAAAAATATCTGAGTCCACAGACCCCACAGACCCTGGAAGCATAGTAGTTTATCATGGCTGATCATATGAAAACATACATTTTTGCAGTAGTTGAACATCCATCCATTCATTTTCCTCCGCTTATCCAGAACCGGGTCGCGGGGGCAGCAGTCTAAGCAAAGATGCCCAGACTCCCCTCTCTCCA